CAATTAATCTTTTGGCACTATTTTAGCCCCTCCATTTTCATCCTAGAAATCTACCCTCCCCTTCTCCTCTGTCTGCACACCTCAATTCACCCATGAGCAATGTCTTTATTCTTTCATGATTTATTCTCTTCCCCAAACATGTAGACATCTGTTACCAGATTTTTAAATTTTGTTATTTCTGAATCCTTGCTTTTTCCTATCTAAGCGTGTCATTAAAAACTTCTCTAGGCAGAAATATTTATTTTACTCTCTAATTGGTTTTACTCCATCCCTTGAAAGCTTTCTTTATTCCATTTTGCAGTTATTAAATTTATATATATGTGACTGTTTATATGTGTGTATATGTGTGTGTGTATGCGTGTGTACATACACATATAAATATATTTCCCACCACCATCTGGCATCATGTAAAGGAAGCATCTTTCCTTCCCCTTGGTCATTTCTCTTACTACACTTGTTATTTATTTCTGTTTGATAGGAATTTGATCTTTCTTTATATTTCTCGGCTTTTGAAAAATTAATTTGGCTCTTTACATAGAATGATCAGAAAAGCCTAAACCCAGTCTTTCCATTTTAAATCTATCTTCTTTCTTGGCCTGAAGTTTTTGATTTACATGGCTCTACTTTCATATTTTTATAATATTTCAGAATATAAGCAAGTATGTCTGAATAAGTATTCTTAAAAATTGTATCCTTACTGATTCTAAAACACAGAATCAAAGAATTTGAGTGTTGGTTCCAACCCATACATGAAAGGAAGCCCCACAATAATGTACCCCTAAAGTGATAATCTGGCCTGGTCTCTAAGGTCACCAAAGGTGTGGGGTAAGGGTGGAATTGGGAACCCACCACCTCTCAGGAGAGCCCAGTCCACTCTTGGACAGCTCCAATTTCAAGGAATGGTTTCCTGACATTAAACCTAAATTGCCTCTTTGCAACTTCCAATCATCACTCCTAGTTTTGCCCTCTTGGGCTAAACAGAATAAAATCTAATCCTCTCTATACACGAAAAACCCATCAAATACTTAAAGGTAGCTACTGTCTCCCTCTTGCCTCTTCCCTCTTACAAGAGAAATGTTCCCCATTCTTTCAACCACTCTTCACGTGACATGGAATAAAACCTTTGGTGATGCTGGTCACCCTCCCCTGGACTCTCTCCAGCTCATCAGCACTCTTCCTAAGCTGTGGCACCCAGAACTAAACACAGCACTCTGGGATGAGAACTGATCAAAGCAAGGACTATCTCTTCTCTATTCCTGGAAGCACTGATTCTCTTAATGGAGTCTAAGATCACATTAATTTTTTCATCTGCCAGATCACTTTGCTAACTCGTATTGAGCTTACAATATACTGAAATTCTCAGCATTTTTTTCCCAGAACAAATGCTATCTAGCCATGCCTTACCCATTTTCATTTTGTCTAGTTGATTTTCTTGTGCCCAACTGTAAGATTTTATATTTATCTTTATTGAAGTTTATCTTATTTGATTCATCCCAATATTCTAGCCTGTCACTATTTTTAAAATTTATTTATTTTTAGTTGTCAACATTCACTTCCACAAGCTTTTGAGTTTTAAATTTTCTACCCCTCCCTTTCTTCCTCCCTCCCCAAGACAGCATGCAATCTGATATAGGCTGTATATATGCATTCCTGTTAAATATATTTTCACATTAGTCATGTTGTAAAGAAGAATTAGAACCAATAGGAGGAACCACAAGAAAGAAGAAACAAAACAGAAGGAAAAAAGAGCAAATAGGATGCTTCAATCTGCATTCAGACTGCATAGTTCTTTCTCTGATGTGGATGCCATTTTCCATCATGAGACTTTTGGAGATGTCTTAGATCCTTGCATTGTTGAGAAGAGCTAGGTCTATCAAAGTTAGTCATCATACAATGCGGCTGTTGCTGTACAAAACATTCACCTGATTCTGCTCACTTCACTCAGCATCAGTCCATACAAGTCTTTCCAGGTTTTTCTGAAGTCCACTTGCTCATCATTTCTTATTGCACAATACTATTCCATTACATTCATGTACCACAACTTGTTCAGCCATTCCCAACTGATGGGCATCCTCTCAATTTCCAACTCTTTGCCACCATAAAAAGACCTGCTATAAATATTTTTGTACTTGTGAGTCCTTTTCCCATTTGTATGATCTCTTTGGAATACAGCCTTAGAAGTGGTATTGCTGGGTCAAAGGGTATGCACATTTTTATAGCCCTTTGGGGATAGTTCCAAATTGCTCTCCAGAATGGTTGGATCAGTTTACAACGCCATCAGCAATGCTAATTAGTGTTCCAGTTTTCTCATATCCTCTCCAACACTTATCATTTTCCTGTGTCTGTCACTATTCTTTTGGATTCTGACTGTCATCCAGTATGTTAGCTATCACTCATAGCTTGGTGTCATCTGAAAACTTGAAGAGCATGCCATCTATGCCTTTATCTAAGTCTTTCTATCTTTATCTATAAAGATGTTAAATAACATAGGGCCAAAGACAAATTCCTGGGAGGTTCCACCAAAGGACTCCCACCATATTTATATCAAACCATTAACAACTACTCTTTGAGTGGAGTAATCCAACCAATTCTGAATTCGTCTAACTGTATTATCATCAAATCCATATCTCTCCATCTTCCCCATAAGAATGTAAGACATTAATCAAAAAGTCTTGCTAAAACCTGGATAAACTTCCCTTTCTTGCTATTCATCAACTGTCTCTTTAATCATCTGGTCTATAATTTTTCCAGATTCAAAGTCAAGCTCATTGGCTTTTAGTTTGGAAATGTTACTCTCTCCTATTTAAAAAAAAAAAAGGTAATTAGGGGCAGCTAAGTGGCACAGTGGATAGAGCACCAGTCCTAGAGTCAGGAGTACTTGAGTTCAAATCCAGTCTCAGATACTTGACACTTACTAGCTATGTGACCCTGGGTAAGTCACTTAACCCCATTGCCTAGCCAAAAAAAAAAAAAAGAAAGCAAAAATGGTAATTAGCCCTTCTCCAAATCATATGGTATCTCTTCCATTTTCAATGAGCTTTCAGATATCACAGACAGTGGCTCTGCAATGACATTGGCCATTCTCTCAGGTCCCTAGGATCTAGTTCATCTGGGCTAGATAACATGAATTCATCTAGGGGTAACTAGTGTTCTCCTATTAATGCTTCACTTATCTTGGTATCGACTCTCTATTATCAATTTTTGTTCTGTCATTTCTAGGGCAAAAGTCATACTATTTGGCAGAGGAAAAAACAGAAACAAAATAAGGAAGAAACAGATCTGCTTTCTCTCTGTTTTCTGTTTTCATCCTCCTCTCAACTCCAAGCAAGGGGTCTATCCCTTCTACGATCCTCTTTTTCTCGCTTTTAGCTTTAAAAAGAAAAAAAACCCTAGTATTGCTTTTAGCTTCCCTCATTAGCCTCAGCTCATTGGGAACTTTAGCATTCCTGACACTATCGTTAGAGGACTATAATGAACTCATATTCATCCTTTCTTACCTGGCCTTGTTTCCATTTCCTATACATTTTAAAAAAGTAATTTGTTGGTCAGTTCCCTGTACATTCACAGGAGTATTTTCATGTAAGTCCTATTTTTCTTCCTAGCACTGGTACAAAGTAGGAACTTAATAAATATTTGTTGACTGATTCCTCATTGCAACCATTTCCCTTTGTTCTCAGAATGCCATTCTTGAGCTTTTCCCAATCCTTCTGATCTGACTTACTCTCTAACATTTTCATAAGTGAGATCCTACCTACATTTCCTCTGAAGCCACTGAAATCTGCTTTCCCAAAATCTACAGGGCATATCAGGCTATGCTTGGATTTTCTCCTTCTCTGTTACAATGTCTAAAAATAATTACCATTTTAGACTTCCTATAATTTCCACCTAGCAATCAACTCTTCTCTGTTAGTAATAATGAGATCCAAAGTGGAGTTACACTTTGTTGGTTTTTCCCCCTTGTGAAAGGTAAAAATTTTCTTGAAGAAAAATCAAGAAATCAAGAAGGCAAATCAAGTGTGTTAAGTTGAGCGACTGGGAAATACTGAATTAATATGGTGACTAGCTAGCTGGGGGTGAAGCAGTCATTCTGGGAGGTCATTTAACCTGAGCCTTAGCTCCCTCATCTGTAAAAATAAAGAGAATGGACTAGACGGTCCCTAATGTCCCTTCCAGCTTTCTATTTATTAGCCTATGGTTTTAGATAATAAGTGATGAAGCTGCATGCATGTTCACACGTATACCCCCCCACACACGCGCTCACACACACACACACACACACACACACACACACACAACATATTATCGGGAAGCTGGAGAGAGGCAATGAACAGATAGTAATATACTATATAGTGTTAAGTATAATGCTGAGGAGTTTAAAGTTTATTGGAAATGTGATAAGGGAGCACTGAAATTTCTTGACCAGGGAAGTGAGGTCATCTTAGCAGTTATGTGCAGGAAAAATTTGGGGAGATAGAAAGATTTCAGGTAGATTATACAGATGGAGGCTCTTGTTACCATCCAGGAGTGAGTTAGTGAAAGTACAATACCAGGGTGGGGGTTAGTAATATCAAGGAAGGATCATTATATAGGAAGAATCAGACATACTTGGTGACTAGCTATAGCTGTGAAGAAGGGGTAGTCATCAAATAAGAATTTTATTTCTAAGGCCTCATTGTTCTTTCTATTGTACCTCATTACCATCATTCTCTCTGTGAGTAAAGTTCTTGTGAGTTCTCTAGGTTTAGGGAAAAACATTCAGACAATTATTAGAAACATACAATAACAAGAGACCCTTCATATTAGCTTCATATCTGTATCACAACTGATTGTGAATCTAGCATGCATTCCAACCCCGTATCTTCTGAAGTTCACCTAGGATGTGAAATGTTCTTCAAATAAGCTTCTGGTTCACCTGAAACTAAAAAGAGCAAGAATGAAAGCATTGGCATGACAAGAAGTGAAATGGCCAGCTTTCTGAAAGAAGAATCTTGATGTTTTAGGTCATCCGGAAAGGAGAGGTGAGTTGCTGTTGGATCTGCACAGCATGCAAGGAGAATGAGTATGTGCAAGATGAATTCACCTGCAAAGCATGTGACCTTGGATGGTGGCCAAACAGAGACCTCACTGGTAGGACCCTTCTCATTTACATGAACTGTCTCCCCTCAAAGTGCTCTGATGCTGTTTTCCCCTACTATCCTAGGAATTATGCTGACCCCTTTCTCACACATTTACATAGGATACATTCTTTTTAATAAGTTTTTCCACATTTGCTTATATTGTTTACTCCACTCAAACACCTCAGTGCATTTCATAGTATAGTATAATTGTGGTATAATAATTCCAAAACTAGTGGAGTATTGTACTAGAATACTGCCATTATTATTTTTTTTAAGTTTAAGCTGATAATACTGTATAGTGTTGGGAAACATAGAAGGAAAGGAGGACCCAATTTGACCCAAAATAAAGTGAATCACTTTGAAATGTTTTACAATGAGATTTTCTAGTACTTGTATGTCATTGGTATTTCTAAATACTTCTAAATATTAAATATAAATATGTTTAAATAATAAATATAAATACATATTACTTAGGTGCCAAAGAACTCATTGATTGGCCCTGGAGAAGAGTAGAGAAAATGTATTTCCCTTCCTTTCTTCGCAGAGGTGGAGTACTATGAGTGTGGAATATTGCCTCTGGGGTCAAATGTGATTGATGTGTTGATTGGTTTTGCTGAATGTTTTCTCTTTCTTTTAAAAAAAATTGTTATAAGGGATGGCTCCTTGGGTAGAAGAGGTGGGAGAGAAACATTCAGAAATTATGATAATATAATGACAAAAGATAAAAATAAGATTTAAAAATTTTAAGTTTCTAAAGGGTAGGATTTGTGTCATTTACTTTGCCTTTTAGAACACTTAAGTAAGTAAAGTATAACAAGCAAAGATAAATGCAATGCTCAATCATACTCATAGTCATCATTCTACATAGTTCAATATACTAAACATCTTTTATGCATTTCCTAATGCAAGGTTGAAACATTGACGTTAGGTCATTTAAGAAATACAGAAAATAGTACATGATATACATTTTTCAGTTGCACGTATAATATTCTTATTCTCTTCTACTCATTATATGGAAATGCTCATTTTATTTGGTGTTTGTTAAGTTCAAGAATAAAAGGGGGAAAAAGCAACACAACATATTGTGAAGTTGGAAAGCCAGATCTTAGAGAAAGAGGCCTCAAAGATCCCTTTGTCCACATGGCAACCAAACAGTAGTCTTCTCTGTAAACTCCCCTACAAATTATATCGCCCCTTTAGCAAATAGAATGTGTTATTCTCCCACCAAATGCATTCATGTGCAGTTTCTGATTGATTGATGTTCATTGAAAGGAAAATAACTACGGCTTTGCTACTAAATGTTATAAGAACATGATATTTTATGTTTATAAACATATGGTAAGTGAAAGTTATTCTGTTTTTCCAAGGATATTAGCTTTTCTAACCTTTTCCGAAGAATAAAAATGAAGCCTAATAGGATAAGAATATGTGCCAGTATATATCTCGGATTGTGACTTAAATTTGCAGATTGAGAATAAGAGGCTCTTAGAGCATATAGCCAAAAGATTTCACCATTCTCATGTTTTGGGTTTTTCCAGACAACACATATGTAGAATATAAGATTCTGTAGCAGCTGTGGTACAGGGAAAGTATAAAAGGGGGGGGGAAATTTACTCATTAGCACATAATGAAACTTCAAAGTCTTCCCTCAATTGTTGCCCACATATATATAGCCAAATCAAAAAAAAAAAAAGTTCCATGTTGGATGTGACCACACAGGTAAATTTTGTCTTCAGCAGTCTGCTGAATATCAATATCAAATAAGGCATAGAATGGAGAAATATACTGACAGAGGAGCTCACTAGTGTCATGTCCTGTGCAAAATCCAAACAGAAGAAAGTTTCACTATTAGTGTTTGAGAACTTACCTTTCTTTGTGTCCCCAGCATTTAGCACAGTGCCTGGCACATGGTACTGTTGTTCAGTCATCTTTCAGCTGTTTCCCCCTCTTCGTGACCCCATTTGAGGTTTTACTTGGCAAAGATCCTGGAGTGGTTTGCCATTTCCTTCTCCAGCTCATTTTACAGATGAGGAAACTGAGCCAAACAGGGTTAAGTGACTTGCCCAGGGCCACACAGCTAGTAAGTATCTGAGGCAAGATTTAAACTCAGGAAGATGAGTCTCTCTGACTCCAGGCCAGATACTCCATCCACTTTGACACCTAGTTACCCGTACCTCACTCTAAGTGCTTAGTAAATGTTTATTGACTTGTTTACAGATGTTCTTCTTTGTAGAATATGCTGTGCTGTATTGAATGAAACCTTATAGCACTACAGGGATTCCTCAGTGAGATACATTGTCACTCATTTAGATCAGAAAAACAAAATAGACGAAAAATAGTGTTCAGATCATGACATCAGAGGGTGTATATCCATGCATTCACACACACACACACACACACACACACACACACACATATACACACATACCCTCCCTCTCCCCTTCCCCAGGCATACATATAATCTAAGAAAAGCATTGCATATAGGTAATGAACTAAGCCTCAGAACTGAATAATAAGAGATTAATAATAAAACCTTTACCACTCTTCTGACACTTCGCGGTCCTAGAAAAGTCTATGTTTTTGCTGTACGGCTGTGAATCACAGAATGCTACAATGCCGGAAGAATCAAAATTACAAGTGATCCAGAGGACCACAGAAAGATACATTGAAACCGTTCCCCAGTTGATTAATGGTCAAAGGATATGAATAGGCAATCTTCAGAGGAAATCAAAGCTATTAATTGGCAAATGAAAAAAATGTTTTAAATCACTAATAAGTGGAGAAATGCAAATTAAATAACTCTGAGGTACCATTCATATCCATCAGATTGGCTAAAATTGGGGGAAAAAAAGGAAAATGACAAATGCTGGTGGGGATGTGAAAAAATGGTCACACTAATGCACTATTGGTGGAGCTGTGAAATAATCCAATCATTTTGGAAAACAATTTGGAACTATGCTCAAAAGGCTATTAAGGGGAAGCTAGGTGGGGCAGCTAGGTGGCACAGCATATAGAGCACTGGCCCTAAAGAGGATCTGAGTTCAAATATGCCCTCAGACCAAACTCTTGACATTTACTAGCTGTGTGACCCTGGGCAAGTCGCTTAACCCCAATTGCCTAAAAACAAAAAAAGGCTATTAAACTGTACATACACTTTGACCTAGTAATACTGCTACTGGGGCTATATACCTAGGAGATCAAAGAAAGAAGAAAAGGACCTCATGTACAAAAATATTTATAGCGTCTCTTTTTTTGTGTTGGCAAAGAATTAGAAACTGAGGGGATGCTCATCAATTGGGGTATGGCTGAACAAATTGTAGTATATTCTTGTGATGGAATGCTATTATGCTATAAGAAATGATGAAGGAAAAACAGAGAAGACTTATATGAATTGATACAAAGTGAAGTGAGCAGAACCAGGAAAATATTCTACATAAAACCAGCCATATTATAAAGATAATAAACTTGAAAAGACTTACTTAATATCTCTGATCAACACAATGACCCACCACAATTCCAAAGGACTCATGATAAAACATGTTATCTACCTACAGATAGAGAACTGATGGAATCAGAGTACAGACTGAAGCATATTTTTTATTTTATTTTTCTTGCTCTTTGGGGAACATGGCAAATGCAGAAATTTGTTTTGCAAGAATATACACATTTGAAATAGATTTTGTTTTTCTTGCCTTCTTATTGGGTAAGGGAAGGAGTAGAGGGAGAGAAAGAATTTGGAACTAAAAAAAGAATTTAAAAAGTCTTTGTTTCAAAAAAGAAAAAAAGGAAGATTCATTGAGTAGGCTGCTACATATTTCTAATAAGTGGCTTAAAAGATATTACAAAGGACGTGCGTAACAAGAGACAGAAGTGGCATGGCCATATAGCTGTAGCGAGTGATAACAGATAGCTTGAATGATGCCCTGGCTATCCATGAGATGTATGTATGTATGTATGTATGTGTATATGTGTATGTATATATCTACACATATATACACACACATATGCTCATATGTGTGTATTTATGTGTGTATATGTTTTTAAACAAAGAAAAGCCTTCATCACGTTAGGTGAATTTTCTAGAGAGGATCTATGGAAAGTCAACAGGAAGAATCACACAGAGGAAGGTATAGATAACTGAGCTGCAATTTATACTAAAGGAAGAATACTCGTACTCATAAGATCATGGGTTCATCAAAATCCTGAAGGAAATGTCTAGTCTGGGTTTCTACCGAATTTGAGTGAATTATTAATAAGCCACTCTATTTAAAATTTTAAATTAATTTGCAAAATGGAAAATTCACAGGTACAAAAAAACCACCAGGGAATATTTAAAATACTAAATAGTTTGCTTTGCCATATGTTTGCCAGATATCAATTAATAAATCAATCAGTAAGCAGTTATTAAATACCTACCACGTGCCAAGCACTTGCTAGGAGCTAGGGATAAAAAAATGGAGCAATCCTAGGCCTCTTGCATTCCATGAAGAAATTCTCTTTTTTGGATTGAGCTCAAATTGAATTTTAGTGGAAAAAAATAGCCAGGGTTGGCTTTTTTTTTTATGGTGTATTAGCTTATGTTATAATAAACTTTTCCAGTCATTTAATAACACAATTGTATTCACATGCCTAAAGAAGAAAAAATGTTTTTTAAATGAATTCATAAACTACTTTGGAACATTTTGTATTTTGACTATGAAGATAATTGTTATATGTCTAATTATAATGATTTTTGAAGTTGTTAATGTAATAAGATTCTCAAACATTTTTTTCTTTATGTGAGAACTACATATTTTAATTCAGCCTTTAATATCACACTTTATTTCTTGCAAAGAACTTTACGATCATTTTCATGTTCCATATAAAGACATGTGATACATAAACATGAGTCTGTTCTGCAATGAAATGGTGCTAGAATTTAGATTAAATATTCATAGGAATTCAACTGAATGCAATCCAATACTACTCACTTCTTAAAATAGGTCACACAGCATAAGGGAACTTCTCAAAATGATAAACTCCATCAGAAAGACTCTCAAGAAGAAAAAAAAATCTTAAAAATTCTCTGGATCTGATATATTTTCTCCAGCACAAACTAAGCCTGGACCCATTTCAGTAGCTATTCACTTATTCAGAATAAGGGTTGCAACAGGTTTATATATAAATAAATAAATATTTATTATATAGGAATATCATATAAATATATCATAGCACAATATATTAATATTATACATTATATAAATATGTAATTACTATACCTATATGTGTATGCATACATATATTATTATACATATATATTTATTAGAGAGAGAATTTGAGAGTGTCATAGAGACTCTCCTTATTTGTGTGTGTGTGTGTGTGTGTGTCTCTGTCTGTCTGTTTCCTAGCTTCATATTATTATTGACCCAGGCTTTTGCCTTGGATTCATCCTTTACTATTCCTTCTCCCTCAACTCTCATCTACAATCAATTTCAAGACTTGCTAATTCTACCTTCTGCACATCTGTAGCATTTGTCCTTTTCTCTCCACTCACATGTCCACTGCCCTACTTCAGACCCTCTTCAACTCTATGCTGGACTATTGTTTTTAGTATCCTAACTGGTCTTCCTTCTTCTAGTCTCTCTCCTCTACAATCTTTCCTCTGCATCACTGACAAAATCATCCTCTTAAAGTATAAGTCTATCCATACCATTCCCCTACTCAAAAACATCTAATGGTTTTCAATTACCTTTAGTATGAAATACAAACTTCTTGAACTTTCATTTATAGATGGCACAGTGGATAGAGTGCCAGGTGCCTGGAATCAGGAGCACCCAAATTCATAATCCAACCTAACACTTAACTGTGTGACCCTGAGCAAGTCACTTAACCTTGTTTGCCTCAGTTTTCCAAGCTGTAAAATGAGCTTGTGATACAAACAGCAAACCACTCCAGTATCTTTGCCAAGAAAACCCCAAGTGGGATCAAGGGGAGTCGGACGTGACTGAAACAACTCAATAACAACAACAAAAAATATGCCTCCAATCTACCTTTCCAGACTCATTTCATTTTATTCTCTTTCACATGTTCTGGTTTCCAAACAAATTGAACAGCTAGCAATTTCCCAAAGTTAATATTCCATACCTCGCCACCAGGCATTTACATATCCTGTGCCCCATGCCTGGGACGTACTCATCTCTGTCTCTCTAAATCCTTATCTTTCTTCAGGGTTTAGCCCAAATGTTACCTCCTCTCTGAGGCCTTCCCTGATCCCCACAATTATCAGTTTTCTTTTACTCCCCAAATTACCTTTAAGCTGCTTATCTCTATGTATGTCTTAACTTCTCAGTGGAATGTCATCTCCCAGGGGTTGGGGATAAATACTGAGCATCTGTTTTCTTTGGTAAGGGGAACTCCCAGGTGGGGAAACTCCCTCTCCCAATGAAGGTCTCCTCCCTGTACCATCAATACAGAGAGTTCCCTAGAGCACTGAGAGGTTACATCACTTATCCTACAGTCACATAGCTAGTATGTGCCTGAATTTCAGTTTAAAGTAGACATTTGCAGTAGAACTTTGCCACTATCTTGGAAAAACTGGATCTCTAGTCTTATTGCATACCCCAAGGGCACAGCTGAGTTCAGGACTTGAACTCAGAAACACTTGGATTCAAAGCTTGCTTCAGATACTTACTAACATGGTGACCTGGGCAAATCCTTTAACCTTTGTCTGCTTCAGTTTCCTCATCTATAAAATGGGGATAATAATAGTAGCTATGTCCCAGAATTGTTGTGAAGAACAATTGAGCTAATATATATAAAATCCTTTGCAAACCTTAAAGCACTACATAAACACTAGTTGTTGTTATTCTTCTAATTTCTCTGCTTTTCCAATACTTTTTCATAGCCCATGTGGAACTAAGTCTAAGGTCTCTAAGATCCCTCAGTAGTGGAAGCAAAAGATAGACATAAGTTTTTGTATCTAAAAGAAAAAGTAGTATTTTTCTTCATCATCGTCATCATCACCATCATTATCACTGATCATTTCTTCATTAGATAAAAATTACTTAAGGCCATTTTTTTAAAAAAACAATGCAGAACTACTCTAAACAGTGAAACCAATTTATGATTAGTTGATGATAGGGGAAAGAACAAAATGTTCTTCTATTAGTTATGGTAAGCTTTTGTTTAAAATAATTTCAGAGGATATGATTTGAAAGGAGGGGAAAACAGCCTATCAAATTTATTTAATAATCTATATTATAAAGATGCATTAAAGTAATATAAAATCAAGAATGATGATGAAATATCTATGTTTGGAAAGCTGATTTTCTTCCTCATTGGTTCCTATTAGCCTTTGATTCTTTTTTCTTCTCTTCCTTTCTTCCTTCCCTTCCTCCTTCCTTCCTTTCCTCCTTTCTTCTTTTTCTCCTTCCTTCCTTTCCTCCTTCCTTCCTTTCCTCCTTTCTTCTTTTTCTCCTTCCTTCCTTTCCTCCTTCCTTCCTTTCCTCCTTCCTTTCCTCCTTCCTTCCTTTCCTCCTTCCTTCCTTCCTTCCTTTCCTTCCCTTCCTTCCTTCTTTCCTTCCTTTCTTTCCCTCCTTCCTTTCCTTTCTTCCTCCTTCCTTCCTTTCTTCCCCCCTCCCCTCTTTTTACAAACAGGCTGTGAACCCATCACTGTTCGTTATCTTCAATGGGGCAACATAGAGTCTATTGTAGCTGTGGTGTTCTCTTGCCTGGGCATTCTGGTCACCCTGTTTGTCACCCTCATCTTTGTTCTATACCGGGACACTCCAGTGGTCAAATCCTCCAGCCGAGAGCTTTGTTATATAATCCTAGCTGGCATTTTCCTTGGCTATGTGTGCCCCTTCACCCTCATCGCCAAGCCCACCATCACATCATGCTACCTCCAGCGCCTCCTGGTTGGACTCTCCTCTGCCATGTGCTACTCTGCTTTGGTGACCAAAACCAACCGTATTGCACGAATCCTGGCTGGGAGCAAGAAGAAAATATGCACTAGGAAGCCCCGGTTCATGAGCGCCTGGGCCCAAGTGATCATTGCCTCCATCCTGATTAGTGTGCAGCTAACATTGGTGGTGACCCTGATTGTCATGGAGCCCCCCATGCCTATCCTGTCTTACCCCAGCATCAAGGAAGTCTACTTGATCTGCAACACACCAGCAACCTGGGTGTGGTGGCCCCCCTGGGCTACAATGGACTCCTCATCATGAGCTGCACCTACTATGCCTTCAAGACCCGAAATGTGCCCGCTAACTTCAATGAGGCCAAGTACATTGCTTTCACCATGTACACCACATGCATCATCTGGCTGGCTTTTGTGCCCATCTACTTCGGGAGCAACTACAAGATTATCACTACCTGCTTTGCTGTGAGCCTCAGTGTGACAGTAGCACTGGGATGCATGTTCACACCCAAGATGTACATCATCATTGCTAAGCCTGAGAGGAATGTCCGCAGTGCCTTCACCACCTCAGATGTGGTACGCATGCACGTCGGGGACGGCAAGCTGCCCTGCCGCTCCAATACTTTCCTCAGCATTTTCCGGAGAAAGAAGCCAGGGGCAGGCAATGCAAAGTGAGTTATTTGACCTGGGAGTCTGTCTATCTGTCTGTCTGTCTGTCTCTCTCTCTCTCTCCTTATTTTTTTTACTATTGCCTCCTACCTTTTTTCCCCAACCCTATCTCCCTTCTCCTCTGCTATTTTTACCTTCCTCGTTTTCTCAACTTCTACCAGATTTAAGATTCACTTTCTTTCTATTCCTATGAAAAATAAGGAACACAAAACAGTTAGCTTCTGAGTACTTCTAGAATCCCTATAGTCTTGGCCAGCAGTTATGGCTGGAACTCTATTGGTGGTTTATATCCTATCCCTTACAGATACACTTAATCTCTCTCTATCTCAGATTCATCACCTGTTAAAGGACCTAGACTCTGAGGTCCCTTCCAGCTCTGAATCAATAATGCTATAATGCTTTATATAGTGCTCTACATTTAGCGAGAATTCAATAAGCTTTGTGGAACATGATATGGTGAGACCTCAGGTCATAGTAGTCTGGATGTGAAATCATAACTGGTAGTTCTTGTTTCTTGTACGGGCCAACTTTCAGCATACCTCCTATGTGAACTTTGTCAGTCTAGAACTTTGAGCAGTTATACCAGTGCCAGTCTCAGCAGAAAGTGTATGAAGATAGACAAACTAAGCAGAAAATAAAGGAGATACTGCATATTTCAACAGCCATACCATTAGTCCAAGTGACTTAATTTTTGGCACCAGTATTATCCTCATGTTACAGATGAAGAAACTGAGGCAGACATAGATTAAAGGACCTGTCTGGGATTAATTACACAGCTAGTTAGGATCTGAGGAAGGATTTGAACTGAGGTCTTCCTGACACCAGTTCTAGCTCTTTATCCATCTATACCATCTGGTTCCCTAGGTTAAAACTACACAAAAAAGAAGGAGAACAAAATGTGAGGTCTCTATCTTGGGACTCCATAAGAACACTGATGCCTTGATCCTTTCTCTCTTCTTATCTGCACCAGTTTGTTTAATGTGCCCTTCCATGGCCCCACTTCCTGCTTTTATTTTCTTTTACTCAAGAACATATATTTTTCATCTCTAGCTTACACCCATAATAAATTCAAAGTTCTTATGACTTTTATATATTTTAGAATAAAATTCACACTTTGTAACATAAATTTGAAAATTATAGAAGAAAATTATTTTCCTTACTGTTGTATTTAATTTCACTTTTTAATGGAAAGGAGTTTTCAGTAATATCCCACAGCTGGCACAATGCCCTGCACATACTAGTTCTTTTTAACTCAATTAAGTACCTTAGATTTGTCCAAGACTTTATATGCTCTTCAAATCACTTCCACACGCAAGTTTCTCATTTGTGCTTCCCAATACCCAATATTGAGGAGGGAGGCAGGTCACGATTTTTATCCACATTTTACAGATGAGGAAAACAGGCTAATAAAGTAAATAATAGTTCTAATAATTGCATGCTAAGCATTCCAGGGAGTCAGTACAATCTAGTGTTTGCAGAGCTAGCCTAGATGTTAAAAAGAAATGGATTAAAATTTTCCTCTGACCTATACTAGATGCGTGATCATGGGTAAGTCTTTTAATCACTTGGTGCCCAAGTTAATCATCTAAGACTTTATGTTATAAATGAGTTATTGATCATTAATGAGGGAGTTTCTACTTTAAGAGTCCCTTACTGGGAAAAATTCACAGGTCTGAAAGCTTCTTCCCCATGCCCTAAAAAGATAACTATGCTAAGATTTGAACAAGTACAGAACTTCCCCCATCCTCCAGTGTTTTAAAAATGTGCTCAGAAACCAGCATACCTATTCTTAAAGATGTTATTTCTGTACTTATTAAACAGTAGATGGATTTTCAATCTTTTTTCCAAAAGAAGGAGACACATTTCTATCAACATGAAATTACTACTGTCCCCACCTACCCTCTAGTGAAATTACTAATGAGGCTTGGTAGAATATGTAGTAAGGGAAAGACCCTGTTGACCTTGATTCTACTCTTGCATAGGGAAAAGCCATGACAGTGGGGGGAATAAGTGGGAGGCCACCAGTTTCCCCCATTCCTCAGGAATCAGAACAAGAACAAAGGACTAACAGATTTTAAAAACAGAATTTGAATTCTACCTGAAGATTTATACCCAAAAAGTGAAATCGGCAGGCAGATCTTTCAGGGTCTTGATAGACTGGGAATGTCCACAAATAATTTGTAGTCAATTTACTTTAACTTTAAGATTCACTTTCTTTCTATTCCTATGAAAAATAAGGAACACAAAACAGTTAGCTTCTGAGTACTTCTAGAATCCCCTATAGTCTTGGCCTATACTAGATGTGTGATCATGGGTAAGTCTTTTAATCACTTGGTGCCCAAGTTAATCATCTAAGACTTTATGTTATAAATGAGTTATTGATCATACGCATACCAGGCCAACCCTGTGGTTGCCTATGCTTTGTCATGGTTTGCATGACTGATTAAATCCCCAGTCCTGAACCAACTTCCAGGTGGTTAGCTCTTGGCAAGCATTTCAACAGCAGAACAACAAAATAAGGAAAGAAAAGAAATTCGGTCACAAATGACCAGTGATAAGTCCAGGTCCACTGAGTCCAAAGGAAAATGAAGTAGGAGAGATTTGGGCCAAATGGAAGGGGAATAAATTAGAAGGGTGAGAAAGAAAAAGAAGGAAAATAGTCTAATCTAAAAAGTTATTTGGGAGATAACCTTGAAAAGAAAAATAGACTAGTGCATTTTTCTCTCTTATTTTTCTTTTTCTTCACCACTATTTCTTTTAGGAATTTTTCTACCCTTATTATGGTGCTTCAAAATTTTCCATAGATTTTGTGACATTGAATAGGTATCTTCTGAAAGGAAAGGAATCTGACATGTCACTTATAGCAACAGGATTTGCATTTTTTTTAAAAAATATTCTATTCTAGTCGTTCTGCTTTTGAACACACACATACATATGGTGTTTTCAAACTTTTTGTCCCTATTAAACTGTCTTTATCAATTTTTTTAAGAAACTAAATGACTCCAAATTTATATCTTCACAAACTAATAAAATGGTGCATTATACCATATGCTATTTATAGTGGTACTGCCTTAAAGTCTTCATGGGCTTTCCCCAACATTCTAGGGATCTAAAAGGTCAAAAGTCACATCAAATTTCTAGAGTATTTAGAAAATTGCTGTTTAGTTTGGCCCCCCAACTTCAGTGGTATGTGAAACAAAGTGGAAAGCTACAATAGTAGAGTCAGTCAATAGGTTGCTGTGACAATGGCCTCCAATGCTTTGTTACAGGTAAAAGCATCATCAGACATTGTCCAATCAGAAATGTAAAGCAAAAGGAAAAGTCTTTCATAAAATGGAGCTGAAATAAAGTTACCTATTATCTCTTAGCTGATTGAAGCTTTTTGTTCATCTTTTAGTATTTGACTCACTACGATATATTCTATCTCACATAAATTACAAGAACCCAAGTGGAAGGATTGTGCCTTTGTGAGATCCTGAACTCCCCAACATATGCAACCAGTACACTGATTTCAGAAGCATGTGGCTCCAGTGAATACTTATAAATGAGTAGGAAGGTGGTGATTCCATAACTACCAGAAACAAATCGTTGTGTAGGCAGCCAGGCATTACTGCAGCTTGCCATGTCCCACTTTGTTTGCCTGTGGTATCCTGGCATTGCTTTCTTTAAAACCTGGGGATTTTTCTCTTCTGTGTTTTGTGCCTGGAGGGAAATTATGATTTCTTTTACATAATCTAAGGTTTTATTCAGGGTCCATTTTCTGTTCTCATAAATAATTTAGGGGAGTAAATTCATTTGAGGATGAATTTAATCTATTGGCTATCCATGCAATCCTGAATTCACTGAAAAACTGCATAACCATTAAATCGGCTTCAGTAGTTTATAACAGTTTCTAGCTGTAAACCAGATATATCATCTGCATTGAGATACTTAAGATGAGTAAGATGCTAATGAGTTTCCACAGCTATCAAATTGGGGTAATAATGGGTATACCCTCTATCTCATAGAGTTATTTTTAAGAGTAAGCAAGATCACATGCAAGAAATACCTTGTAATTATAAAAGCACTGCATGAATGCAACTTATTATTTAGTCATATATTAAAATTAACTTTCATTAAGCAACTTTTCATGAGCTATTGATAACTGGGCTGATCCAAATGGAATTATTTGGCTAAATTTCAACCAAAACAAAATCATCAGACAATCTGCTAGTTGGTTTTCTCCTTTTGACAGTTCATTTTTTAAAACTTCCCATGTTTTCTTCCCACACTCTATTTTGGAAAATGTAACTTTAAAATATAACAATAGTCCAGCCCCAATGTTTCTGCTTTTGTTGTTAATGTTCAATATTTCCCTGGTTTATCTTTTCCAAAGTTAAAATGAAAAACAATCTGATGTTTTCTGTAGTAACAAAAACCAAGGAGAGTTATGCCAACTATAAAACATGGGGCAGTGTACTCTGGATAGCAAGTCATCTAATGAACTTATTTCATTCTGGATGTGTAATCACTAAGTTTACAGAGTGCTGAGGGTGTTCGGCAGTCTGCATATGTAGCTATAAACACAGACCAGATGCTATAATGAATAGTTTCCAAGTTACCCTATCGTTTTCAATTTTACTCTGAAGAGCTGCCAGTTCAAAACATCCTTCCAGCCGGCTGTTTCTGAGATATATGGCAGGGGGTGGGGGGGGGGGGCAGGGAGTGCAATGTAACTCTGTTTTTGCAACATTCACTTCACTTTATGGTTTTTTAAACAGTTAAGCAACTATCACGACCTTAAAGTTTGGGCCATGACTAAATTATGAGGACAATTAAGGGTTATAAATACAATTTAAATGACAACTGTAACATATAGTCAATGGGTCACTATCACTACCACTATTAACATTTAATACCTTAACCAAGATCAAGTAGCCAGATGCCTATTAAGAACTTGAGGAGACAGAGAAACAGCATGGTATAATGGAAAGCATAGTGGAACGAAAGTTAGAATAGACCT